GCGTGCGAGACGCGGACCTGCGCAGACCCGGAGGGGTTTGGAGGGATTTGATGGGATTTGGTTCATGAACAATTGTTGACTTAGGAAAGTCGCTTTCTTTGGGGGACCTCGCTGCACTCAGCATCAGATGGATGCAATGACGATGCACAGCCGGGATAGCCGGGCCAAGCCATCCGGGAAGGTGAAGGTTCTGATGGTTTTCGAGTCCCTGATCATAGTGCTTACAGTGATTAGGTCAATCATATGCATGCTCTTGGGCTTTCGAAAGGTTTCGTAAGTTGGTGGGTGCCTCCCAAATGCAGAGTGGATTATGATACCAAATCACTCTTGATTGGTATCATGGTATCATTGCCATTTTCAGGGATGAGACAAACGTCATCTTAGTGGAGTCACCTTAGCTTTAAGACTTATGGGACCCCAAGGTTCAGGTAGGTTGCTCTTGGACACGAAAACCTCGCGCTTCTCTCGTGAAACGTCGGCGAAACCGGTGGAGCAGTGACTGGATAGACTCCATCGGTGCACGTGGATGTGAACCGCAAGAAGGCTCACGGCACACTGCGATCAACCAGAATTATCTTGGGAAAGTCACAGTCAATCCAACCGCGATCTTTTCGTCGAACTGCTCATGTTGAGTTCTGTCTTGGCCCGCTCTTACTCAATGAAGTAGGCCTAGGTAGGCGCCTGCTGAATTAAGCAATGGCTAACGGCTACTGGACTACTGGATGCAGGACAGCTCACACTATTCATTAGTTCATGTGGTTCCTAGATTTTGCGGGAAACTTACTCTGGGAATTACATCAATCCATTCAGGCAGGGTTTGAGTGGTTTCATGCCCTCCTCTTTACAAAGCAAGGCCACTGCCGATGGCAGCCATCCAGGGGCTATACCTTCCATTCAACTATATGAAACATTGAACAATGCGCCCTCCCCATCAATCCCCTTCAGATGGTGACCACTCAACCAAACATCTTTCGCCCCACTAGGCACCTCCGTGCCGTCCGATGAGTGTCGACAGACTCAGACAGACTGGCAGAGCCCGACGAGTCAACGGCAGATGTCAACATCCTGTATGAGTCGCGGAAGCGATGATCCACATGGTGATCATGTTTCTGCCTCCTCAACATTCTGCGCTGTCTTGGCAGATGTCTCTCTGAAGATCAGACCTTGGGCAGGAAAACGGCGACCAACAAAAGAACGACGACGCAACAGGGTGGTCGTTGAGATCCCCAGAGCGAGGTTGATCATCTTGGTTGGCCAAAAGTAGCCCTTCCATCTCCTTTCCGAGTAGTCTCCAATGTCCAACCAGTAACCAGTTCCCAACCAGGTGGCTTAAGTTCCCATCAAGGAAACATGACATGTTCCCAGCCAGACTGGACACTGAGGTGCTTCGCCCGCCCCAAGTGACATGCGGCCGGGGCCCAGCCAGGCGACTGACGCATGAGTCGCATGGCTGGGCCCAGTCGCATGTGATCCTTTCACCCGGAGGACGATCCCACGTCGCCTGTCGAACAACCCACACGACCAAGGAATGATCAGGCTGTCATTCCGAGTTATATTATAGATAGAACATGAATGAACATGATATAACAGTGACTAATATCTTACAGTATCTACTTTGAGACCTTATACTGCTCAATCATCTGCAAGAGAACATCCAGCTCTCATGGCCTTTCATGGTATGTGGCCGGCTCGCCCTCATTAGGCCAAAACCACCGAAGGCCCAACCACGAGGTCGATGGTTTCCCCACGACCACGGGATTGGTGAACAGGCCTGGGGATCGGTTCATTGATCTGGGGTCGGACGGCGTATACTTCCTTTTCCCAAACTTCCGGAGTGTTTGTGGTTGGACCGGCCAGAACAGCTGGAACACGCCTAGTAACACATCCCACGGCGTGCAAGAATAACCCCCCCCCCCCGGTGGCTGTTGGGGAAGAAGCGGCTGTCCCCGCGGCCGGTCGTGACCCTGAGAAGCTGGTTGCAACGGCGAAAGCACCCTTCGGCTCGTGAGGATGCGCGCAGCGCTTGGTGAACTGAGAGGCTCGTCGATGTGCTGTGCCCCGGTCGATCCTTCCGAATTCATTGCATACCAGCAATACCGAACCCGTGAGGCCAACTTGCCGTGTAGCAACGATGCTGCTAGCGGCTAAGCAAACGGTGGTCCCTGCAAACGCCGATTGGCAAAGATTGACCATCCTGCAATCACAAAGGGGTACTATCTATGGAGGTTAGGGTTGCCCAGAACATCCACTCACTGGATGGGACTAAACACCACCCCTTTGTGACTCCTGGATAATTTAGCTACATCGAAAAGGAACCGCTCCTCGGGCACCGGTTTGAGGATCCACACCATGGTCTCGCGCGAACTGAGCTCCTTCCTCATAGGTGACCTGGCAGCTTCCAGAGATTTTTTGTGACCGTAAATAGGACTAGTCATCTGGGGTACCAATGAGATAGTCAACATTTCCACGAAGATCACGAAGATTCCCAGCGGCATGGAAGACATTTAGCGACACAATTCCCATGACTCGTCTTCCAGTCTATGTTTGTCTGGTCTGGGGTTCTGATGGTTCTGGAGATCACTAAGTGATCAGTGCGATGGATTGTTTTTGTTTGGATTGCGAGATCTTAGGCCATGCGCAAACGCTCCATGGGACTGGAATATATACATCGATCCCTTTTCCCCAATGTAGGTACAGATGCCACATGAGTTGCCTCTGGGATGACCCAATCACTTGAACTTGCGCTGTTCGACTGTAGCACCACAGTTCGGTAGCTGTCAGACTTGGGGCCAGACTGGGGACCAGGAGCTGCTCTCTTGAGACCAACCAACCAAGGCGAGAAAACGCGTTCACTTCACCGTACTTGGGCACAGTGATGTCCGTACTTGAGAACACACGGTATCATCACATATATACCTATTAGTTGCTCAAATATGGTGGTATGCCGCTATGCCCTCTATTTTGGGACCATCGACGCAGACTTCGGCAGGGTCCCCGACCACAGGTATATCCCAGTATACCAAGTCGCTCGTTGTGCTTGCTTTTATGGTCTATGTCATGGTGATGAGTCGCTATGTCTCGCTGGTTCTTACAAACAACACCAGGACCATATACCAGTGGATCCCATGCAGCCCAGTGGATCCCAGGCAGCCCCAGTGGAGCCCAGGCAGCCACACTTTCTTTTTCTTCGTGTTTGGGGACGATGGGTTTGGAGATCGCTTTTTGGAATCCCTCAGTGAGCGGAGGTGACTTGACAGACAAGGGCTTTTGGGCTCCCAGAGGCACCCCCATGGAGCTGCTGGGACTCGATGGTGTGTCTTAATTAATTCGGTTTAATCCGTTTTACTCATATTCTCTCGAAAGCAGCTTTTGCAGCATGGTGCTACCATGTGCTACCTACCCTTCTGCCACAGATGAACCCACCCGTCATGTCGGCGGACTTTCTCACTCTTGCAAGACGTGTCACACACTTGCCGTCCTGTCGTTCTCGGGCGTCGAAAAGGGTGCGGGCGTCTTCACCCATTGCTGCGATACACCTGTACTTGGGTCGTTCGGAGTTCCTCCAGGCCCCCTCCTGCCATTTGAGACGTCTAACTACTACAGACCACTCCAGACCGGTTTGGGTCCGATCTGGGAGTGCTTCACCGTCTGGGAGTGCTTCACCGTCTGGGAGTGACCGTCGTGACCTTAGTCCCCAACACCATGTTCGTAAGCACCTGGAGGTTCACGCCACCATGACGGGTACCAGGTTTGCTGTCCCAAAGCCTTCACTTCAACTGGCATCCTTCCGTGGTTCATTGACCCCAGGGTCAGCTCTGGGTGGGGCATGTCGTTCCAGGGCAGTCCTACGCAGGTCGTGGCATGTCGTTCAACCCAAAACATCGACCGTGGCAGGACTGGCATGTATAGTAATAATACATTGGGTTGGTTGACCTGGCGTCTCAGTAGGCATAACATTCCAGTCTGGGAAAGCAACTTCCCTCACCCTCCAGACCATCTTACTCTGCAAGGCTTGCTGGCGCTGAGCTTGATCAGCTTGGAGACGCCCAGACACCGACCGCGCATGAATGTTGGATCGGCAAGACCGTTGCCAGGGTAGACCCCATGCCCCAAGGGTTTTTCCAGTGCCATACATCAAACTGGACAACCAAACTGCCCTTGTACCTCCCCAAAGAGGATGTCTATGAATAGCTCCGGAAAGAGCGCGCCAGGCGTGTATTCCTCTGCTTGCGAGTATTGTAGCTGCCGCCTAAATCTTCGCAGGATCTTGAAACAAATAACCTGCAACACCTCCACCCCACACTAGGAAGGCCATGGCAAATCATGGCACCGTGCCACACAAACATGCATCACGTGGTTTGGTCGAAGTGCTCTATATATACACAGGCACTTTTGGGTGTGGTTTGCTCGATGTTTTTGCAAAAGCCATTTGCATCCATTTGCTCATCGCAGGTCAAAAACACCAAAATCAGCTGGCGTTGTAATAGTACTTACAAATGTGACCAGTGAGAGCTCATCGCCTCCTGACTAGTTGTACGAGTTGCAATAACATGTAAGTAGATAGACCGCTGCCAAGCTGAACATGTCATGTCGTCATGCAATATATCAAATCACTTGTAGCTATCCTTGACTGTGATCAATTAGACCAAGTTCATCAGCAGCACCGGAAAATAGCGGAGCGGGAGCGCCCTCTCTTTGGATCGGCGCCGTTTGCTCCGCGCGGTCCCGAACGGACTCATCAGGTCGTGGTCCCGGACGTGTGCCTTTTCGGTTACAGAACAGACCATCCATGGCACTGGAATAGTTTATCATTCAGATTCATGATTCATGAAACATACAAACAGTCCCAGTTCACAAACAGGTCATTAAAAGGCACTTACCTCAGTAGACTCTAAGGTACAAACAGTTCACAAACTGTAAGTTCACAAAGAAAGGCATTCGCTGATCAGCCGACTCATGTTCCTCTCGCCTGAAGACTTCAGGACCCGCGCCACGTCTCGCTACTTCACCGCCGTGTTGAGGTGGTCGAAGGCGTCCTGGAGAGGGGTAGAGGCGTCCTGGGTGGGTTCAATTCACCATAGATGATATACACCCCCTGAAAGAAATACAAAAGTAGACAATCCCTTGTTTGTAGATTTTGTGGGGGAGTAGGGGAAAAATCATATATCTATTCCAGGAGGCTGTTGTCCACCTCCATGATTGTTGGAGGGAGGGTATCGGAATCTTCTAAATGTGCAACATGTCCGGCCTTTTCATCCACACAACCAACCAAGGCAAACATTGTGCACTGTTCTCGAAAGGAGTCATTGGAAATTGGGATGTTAAAATCACATCACCAGGCTGGCCATTCAATTGTGTTTTCAGGACACCGCCCATTGTTGTTCTGGTTGGTTTCAACTCAACGAACAGAAATGAGTGGGATCAATCATCTCAATGTATATAAAGGTGGATAATACAAACATTTCAGGAGGACAACAGTTGTTTATTCTTACCGGATCTTATAACATCTATCCAGCCGCCGGTCGAATTGAGATGTCCCCTCTTCGCGTGGCGGGCGGTCGTGTCAGGGTCAAGGGAGGAACGTCCGACCGCGTGAAGCGGGTCTTGCAGGATTCGACCGGGGAAAAGGCTGGGTCGATATCTGGAGACTTCAAGAAGCATCAACATGGAGTGTCTCATATGTTGGATTGGCGCCCTGTTTACATACCTCACAACCTACCTCTCAAACCATACCAAACAGTGTCTGGGGCGGTATGTCTGTATGGCTCCAGGTCGGACCACCGAAAATGAACAAATTCCTCAACCTTCCATTGTTTGGTACTTGAGGTTTTGACCCACTGCAGTCAAACACCGTACCCACACTGTTTGTGCCCAAGCGGTTCCACACTACATGGTACTTGAGGCGCTTCAGGCACTTCCGGGCGCGCCCATGGGAGAGAACACGTTCACGAAACTCCAAGCATCTAGGGGGCTTCTGTGTTCGTGTTCGGCGGGCGGCCTAGCAAGTTGAGGCTCAGGCTAATCCAGAAACACGGATTGAACGAACCCATGAGGCTTATGCACTCTAACATACTGCCTATCATCACCCTAGCCTTCCAAAACCGGTTGACGGTTTTAGGTTGACCTGGTTTTGAAGGGTTGACCTGGTTTTGCAGATTGAAACTCACACCTTATAGGGCAAAACATGCAAACAAAAACAACCATGCTTATTCCGGCAAAAAAAACATTATCAATCCGTCCGTTCTTCCGCCTCGGGTTGTTGGTTACCACCATCAGCGACCCATCAGCGATCCCACGATGATTGCAGAAAGATGATCGCAAATACCCTCCGAACACCGAAGGGACCTTCACCCGCTGGAAGAGCTGCTTCGCTTCATCTTGTCGCTCGTGGTTCTGCTGCCCTCAGTGGCGCACTGCAGCGCGCTGCTCGCCCGTGGAGGTGAGGACATGGCGCGATGAAAAACACCCCAAGCCAAGCACGACCTGTCTGGGACTGGAATAGATATGCCGCCCCAGAAAGACCCCTGAATCAGCCGCCTCAATGTATGCAAATAGGCCAGTCCCAGTCCCATGGAGTGTCTGCGGCAAGAAAGTCTCACGGGAGATCTCCGTGAGAAGGGGAAAACAGGGCCCAATTCCGACCCATCTGGAATAGGACAATAATACATTGACCCTGCCAGTCCAGTCGACCATTGTGAACATGGTCTGGATAGATTCTGTAGGTGACCCGTAACTTTGATGGTACAAACAAATAGTCTCGAGCTGGACTACTATAGGGTTCTATACTCCATGAACTACTACTGGACCACTGGATCATACTGGTAGTTACTGGATCCATACTATTTCAGCTGGTACTACTGGATCTATACTCCATGAAATATGACTCAAGTGCAAGAATACCCACTGTTGAAAGACATTAAAAAGCCATCTGAAAGAAAAGCTCTGCCACATCCAATGATCTACCACTGGAGACCGTAGCTGGGCCCTTCCCTACTCTCTAGAGGAGACCTGGCAGTAAGGGTGCGGGTGCAAGAAAACTTCTCTTTCAACAGTCTTCTGGTGAATCCGTCACTTATCCAGATATGTAACCAGAGGTACTCACGATTTGAGCCCTCCACCTTCATTCAAAACACCTGAGAAGCTGCAAAACGAAAGCCAGCGCTTCCCTTCCTCGACAACTGCGCGTCGAAGCAAGCAAATGAGCTCGCGCAGCTGCTTGCGGCCGCGTGTCAAATCTGCTTCATGTCTTGTTCTGCCCACACAGAGGTAACCATGTCAAAACAAAAACCTGCGCTTCCTGGCAATTGAGGGATTCGGTGTCATTTTGCCCGGAAATTTCCTCTGCACAGGGGGGGGTTTGGATGGAATCCGATGTTTTAGGCCGTAGCCAAATCTATCCACATTGACATCATTTGGTGTCTGTACATGGAATGGGAGGTCTCACTGTGGGAAGTGCAGCATGGCCACATGAACGGGACTTGCTTTACAGGTTGACACTGGATCTGATCCACTAAGGTTGAGCATGACCCTACCTATGGTCTGGTTTTCACCAACTATTGCTGGGTGCTCGATAATTGACATCACCGGTTCATCATTGCACCCACAAGTGTGATAGACCTTCAGAAATGGCCAGTGAGCAATGGAGATACAAAAAAGTCCAAGGGGTACACTGTGTACATCGATTGAACTAATCATAGAAGTGGAAAACCACCTGTTGGGGCTATGCCATCCACTTCTATGCTTATTTCGGGGAGTGTGCACCTAGACATACCGCCTATAAACCCTAAGGGTTGGATTATGGAAACATATTGCATATGGACCCTTGACTGACCTTCCAAATCCTCACCTGAGTCCCCTTCAGGTGTCCACAGTCGACCACTCTGGTGCAAGCAGAAGCATGCCCACAAGATTGAATCCAGCCCTTGAACGTGCCCAAAACTAAGGTCAGGCAGGTGGCTTATTTAGTTTAGTTTTAATCCTATAGTCGTTTGCATGTTGCTCTGAAGCTAGCCTGGGTCTGTACAAATACTATGTTGCCAAACCTCTTACACACCCACACAAGTTCAAAGCACGAATGAGACTTCAAAGCTGTGGATTGCTGCGCGTGTGTAGAGGCTATCGAGCGGTTGACGGAAAGGGAACTTGAAGTACTATACCTGGTAGCTGCAAGCAAGGTGCCAACTACACCTTTATTTTCAAGGTGGCCTGAACAGAGTGTTTCAGGGCAGCAAACCGTGGTCTCAGGCCACCTTGAATTTAGCTTGAAAACCACAGCTACATAGCTACCCTGGGTCTCTATACCTGGCAAGGTGCCAACTACACCTTTATTTTCAAGGTGGCC